GTCTACCGGTCAATACTCGGCTCGCCAGCGGCCGTTCGTGACGATCCGGACACCCCTGGAACGCCCTCGCGACGCGAAGCTGCTGGACGGCATCCCGAAGCTGGAGAGCCGCCGAGAACCAACGAACGCATCCCCCCAAACATCGGCCCTGAGCACATCCACCCCAACGCTGCCCCTGATGGAGGCCACGACAGCTGGGGCGGCCAGAGCGGCGGCTGGCTGCAAGGGGGAGGGGGGGAAGCGAGGGCTCTCCTACGCGGCGGCCCCCGCGAGGCGGCGCCGCGACTTCCGCCTGCGGCAAGGGGGACCGGCGCAGGACGCGGCGGCGACGGCTCGGGTGCTGCTTCGTGGGGGGGAAGCGGGTGCACTAAACGGGGGTGGCGAAGGAAGGTGCACGTTTTGCGCACTTTCGGGGCCCCAGGGGGCTCGTTTGGAGCTCTTGTCTGGGGGGCACCATAATAACCGTGGCTACGAGGTCTTCCACGACGAGCAGCGGTATCGGTACATTTGTTGGAGGAATCTCCCAAAAATCCTCGGTACCCACCCATTCATCACCACACGCCCGAGAGGTCCCGCCCCCTGCTCGCTGCCGGTGCTGGCTCCACTGCTGCAACGGACGCGTGCCTGCCCAGGCACTTTAACATGGGCCCTGAGACATGGAGCCCGCAAGCCCATAGGGCGAGGGAAAAGGGAAGAAACGGCGAGGGGCGGAGGGGGCGGCAGTGGAGGACAAGGAGAAAACTCATCCTGGTTGTCGTGGTAACAAGTGGCACGTGTGCCCTGGCTCTTGCACTAAGGAGCCGCGAGAGACAGGAGGCTTTCGCCTCCTTCCTCCAGAAGTTTATTTTTGTGGCCGCCGGGGGGAGGACGAACGACGAACGAACGACGACGACGAGCGAAAATAAAGAGGTCCGAGCTCTAGAACACAGCTGCGCAAGATAACAAAGGGTCCAGGGCGAGGGGGACTGGGGCCACGGCCGGGGGGGGGAGGCTGGGTCCAGGGCCAGGGCCAGCGGGGCAAGGGGGGCGGGGGGCCAAGGCCAGGGGAGGAGGCAGGGTCCAGGGCCAGGACCAGAGGGACGACGACAAACGAAAATAAAGGATCCAGGGCGAGGGGAACTGGGGACAGGGCCAGCGGGGGGGAGGCTGGGTCCAGGCCCTGGGCCAGCGGGGCAAGGGGAGCTGGGGCCAGGACCAGGGGGGGAGGTTGGGTCCAGGGTCAGGACCGGACCGGGGACCCAGCGGGGCGAAGGGGGCTCCACGGGACCAGGACCAGGTGGGGAGGCTGGGTCCAGGGCCAGAATCGGACCAGGGACGACGAGCGAAAACAAAGGGTCCAGCAAGTGGGGGAGTTGGGTCCAGGGCCAGGACAGGACCAGCTGCCAGGGACGACGACGAGCGAAAATAAAGGGTTGCTAGGGCGAGGTGGGCTGGGGCCAGGGCCGGCGGGGAGGCTGGGTCCAGGGCCAGGGTCAGCGGGGCGACGGGGGCTGGGGCCAGGGCCAGGTGGGGAGGTTGGGTCCAGGGCCGGGACCAGAGGGACAACGACAAACGAAAATAAACGGCCCAGGGCAAGGGGGACTGGGGACAGGGCCGGCGGGGGGGAGGCTGGGTCCAGGCCCTCGGCCAGCGGGGCGAGGGGAGCTGGGGCCAGGACCAGGGGGGAGGTTGGGTCCAGAGCCAGGACCGGACCTGGGACGACGACGAGCGAAAACAAGTGGCACGCGTGCCCTGGCTCTTGCACAAAGGAGCTGCGAAGGACAGGAGGCCCCCGCCTCCTTCTTCCAGGAGGGGTTTACGAGGAGCCAGGAAGAAAGCGGAGGAGGAGGAGGACGACGACTACGACGACGATTTCTGGGCCCTGGCCTAGTTTTATTTCTGGGCCCTGGCCAAGAGTGCCCAAGAGGCTCCCCAAGAGGCCCCAAGAGGTCAGAGTTGTGAGGATGTCTCAGGCGGCAGTGGCCAGACCACCTGCTCAGGGCATCTCGCAACTCAGAACGCCGAGGGTCTCAGGCGGAAATGGCCGGACTACATGGGGCACGGCACCTCCGAGGCAGAGTTCGGAGGATGTCTCAAACGAAAGTGGCCTGACCACTTCAGCACAGGGCATATCGGAACTCTGAGTTGCGAGGATGTCTGAGGCGAAAGTGGCCTGAACACCTGAGCTCAAGGCGTGTCGCAACCCAGAGTTTCGAGGATGTCTCAAGCGAAAGTGCCCGGGCCACCATGGGGCAGAGCACCTCCGAGGTCAGAGTTCGGAGGATGTTTCACGCGAAAGTGGCTTCATCACCTGAGCTCAGGGCGTATCGGAGATCAGAGTTTCGCTGGGGACCACTGGGTGGCGCTGGGGAGGTTCCACTGGGGGGGGGGGGAGGGGTGCGTCGCGAAAAATAAAATCGTCGGGGCGGAGGGGGCACTGGGCGCGGAGGAGGCACTTGGCAGAGGTCCCACTGGGGGCGCTGGGGACCACTGGGGGGCGCTGGGGAGGTCCCACTGGGGG